GATTATTCTTAATACTTTTTATCTTGGGCTAAAATTTGACCATAATTTTCGCTATTATCATTCTGTAAGTCGTGGCGTTTCTCTGGGGAGTCGCATTCGATCAGCTGAGCAAGAAAATACAGGTTTGCAATTCGAGCAACTACTAGCTAAATGGTTCCAAGGAGGGGGAAACCGTCTAAAAACTTACTTCCAATACATGTGCTGTATGATATCTGATATCTTGAAAGAAAAGTCTTGTTCAATATGATAAAACAGGAATTTAATATCGCTCTCTACATTTATCTGACACTATACAATTTATATTTCCATTATATTTGTCAGTGTTTGTCAATGCTTTGATACATAATCTTTATTGTTTACGACAGAAATACTTATTTCCCGGTGTGTGAAAAGTCATCTAAACGCTTGTTTGTTCACCCGGAACTTGAGGGGTTTGAAAAAAGAGGAACCATCTAGAAAATAAAAACACGAAATCGTATATTTGATACTTTTTATGATAGTGATTCTTCAATAAATTCTTTAATTTCGCGGTTAATCCTAATGTATGTTAAACAAGAAAGAAAATATGTCCGATGCTGCCAAGGTTGCTAAGCTGATATTTTTTTTCAAGCTGGACACAAGGTAATCTGAAATTATAAATTGAGGCCGCATCACTGGGATGTGGGAAAGTAATTTCTCTCCCAGAGAGCCGGGTATCTCCCGCTCGATGGTATACAGGCGACTAAGAATGTAGATGGGATTCATCATAGAATGTTATCAAAGAGAGGTTGAACAAATGGCATTGCCAACATCGCCTCCAGTTCGCCCAGCAGTATGTGGAGAGCGCAGGGAAGCTCAATTTCTGGATAAGAGATAACAGGGTGTAAATATCATCTTTTTTCAATTTGTTCATAGACTTAGTTCAGATTTTCATAAAGATGCATGTTTATACATGATAGTGCCCTACACGCCATATTCTATGCATTGAATATCTATCATTATTTACTATTCAGATGTGACAGACGATATACGTATGAAACGGAGTGGCCATGTGACCCTCAAGTGGGGTGAATTTTCATGCATGGTGCTGGTGAACTCGCCGAAAAAGAAGGGAGATTCAGTTTAGACAGATATTTGGAAATTGTTAGAAGATATATTCCTCCCATCAGCCCTTCCCAGAAACTGCCCAATGCACACATCAAGGGCAGTTACGAAGTGGTTCAGTAACCAAAAAACACATGGAAGTTCTTCCGCGGCCAAGCAAGGCAGGTAACTCAAACCCGATGAAAAATGTTTCGGCAAATATGGTTAACGTTTGGGAAACGGATAATGAAAGAACCTCCCATTAACTTATAAACCATGTTGAAAGGGGATGGAAGGAGTTCAAAATGTGTATCGTCATCCTTGTCCCGGGGATTAGACTAGGTTCTGAATAACGATACATTGTTCTTATTATAAGTATGACTGATCCTAATATTAGTCTTTCTATTCTACAGTTATTACCGTTTTTCTTTTTACAAAAAACAAAAAACAAAAAACAATAGTGAAGATATCTTCAAAATGAATAAGCATCCTACCAATTATTCGATATATGTATACTAATTTATGTACATGCATATATTTTTTCCTGCCAACTACATGTTATATTTTTCGCGAGAAGGGGTTCATAATGTCTATTATTTATAGAACCAATGATTTTAAATATAATGTTTAACATCCATAAATAAAATGTTTAACTCGGCACACGCATATGCACAAATTCATTGTAGCCCTACTACGGTTTTGTGTCCAGTGTTCTAAAATGATAAAATAGCATATTTTCTGTTTATTGAATCAGTGTTTGGATCTGACGAAAAGAAGTCCTTTTATCAATTTAAAAACACAAGAAGATAATATACGAGAATTTTAGTTTTGGGACAAAACACAAGTCTGCCATTTTTTATCTACACCTACGCATATACTGGAAACGGATGTGCATTGACAAACAGAAGGAAATAAAGACTGAATATATGACAAATATATATGTATATATGAATATATATGTGTATATGTTTATATATATACATATATAAATATATATGTATGTGTGTATGTATGTATGTATATATATATAGCGCGAGATGAACTGCACATTTCATCAGAATGAGCAAGATTTTTTTTCAAGATATTAGATATCGTACAGCACATATATTGAGAGTTAGTTCTTAGACTTTTTATATTCACCTTCCTTGGAATCACCCAGCTAGTAGCTCCTCGAGTTGAAAGAAGCAAACCTGTATTTTCTCACTCGGCTGTTCGAATGTGGATGCGACTCATCAGAAAAACGCCACGACTTATGGAATAATAATACTGAAAACTATTGTGAGATTTTAGTATTAGAAACGAATTATACGTCAGTTTCAGTATCTATTTCTTCTTTATAATCCTACTACCGTTTTACATCCAAATTGTGTTCTACTATGAATAATATGTTGCATGTTTTCTGTTTTAATGTTTGGTGGCTAAAAGAAAAAAAAAAAAACCTAGTCACTTCATTAGCGCGATTAACCGCTACTAGTTGGTATAGTAACGGTTCACGAAAAACTAACAAATGTATCAGCGATTTTGCTAAGTTTTATTTGATCTAGCTACCATATATAAACGTTTAAAGAGTAAAGTGTTTTCATGTTTCAAGAAATATGCAGCTATGTTTACATTGATGTTGTTACCAGATGTATAAAAGTGTACTGAAATATAATTCCACAACTGTAAATTCATTCCGTTATAAACTTCTTTTTTTATATAATACGAGTACATACGCGCACATACATATATATATATTTACACGCACGCACGCACGCACACACACATACACACACAAACACACACACACACACACACACACACACACACACACACACACACACACACACACACACACACACACACACACACACACACACACACACACACACTCACATAAACACACACACACACACACACACACACACACACATATATATATATTTAAATATAATATCTTATATATATCATATGTATATATATATATATATATATATATATATATATATATATTTATATATATGTATATATATATATCTTATATACACATAATATCTTATGCAATATCTCATATATGTATATATATATATATATATATATATATATATATATATATATATATATATATATATGTATATACATATATATATGTATATACATATATATATATATATATATATATATATATATATATATATATATATATATATATATATATATATACATTGTTACACATACATACATACATGTACATACACATACATGCACGCCTTGATGTGTCCTAGGAGGAGACAGTGTTTTGCTTTCATTTTCTTGGAACATGTGCCATATTTTCTAGAGAGTGACATTATAACAAGAAAAAAATCTATTTATAGTAATTTCCATTACTTCCTTATCCCAAGTCATACGCTCGGATTTAAACATTTTTTGGTCATCATAGAAAGTTAATTTTTGCTTGAGCGAAAGCAGACAGCATTATCCAGTCTTCAAATTACTATGGACTAATCTATACCGATTTTTTTGTAAAAACGTTTTTTTTAATATCATGTAGCAGCCAATATGTATCTATCTAATACTGCATAATACTTACCAATAACTTTATCTATTTGAAACAGTGTAATGTCCACATGCACTTGAGAAGAAGCATGTGTTATATTACTAGATACACATCAGTTACCCATCGCCTCCAAGTGGATTGCACCTTACTCAAGAGAAATCGATCGCCCGTCCATTTGTATGGTAGCCAAATACTGATAGTGATATAGATCTGCATGAGGGATGTGCATGGTATCAGAATATTCCAAAGCCAATAATGTCATATCCTTGAAAATATCCTATTTCAGCTTAGCAAAGATTACATATTGATTATGATGGTCCATATGTAAAGTATATATTGATAGATCATCTTTCTGAAGGGCTAATCATATCAGACATACATTCAGTGCAACGTATTATCCAGCTACACGTGATGAAGCTATACGTTTTGTTCAACCTTTGAAGAATAATATGAAGTGCAGACAAGCCATCACTTCTACCGTCGGCAAGCGTACTTATAGGTTTCTGCTTGCGTATAAAACTACATGTCATGCAACAATGATGTGTTCCCCTTCATAATTATTAATAGAGATGAGGTTTAGGTGTAGACTTGACCTCATGAAAGTTGACTTTATTGAGAGATTAACATGAAAGAAGAATCCAATCACAAAGTTGTGATATATTTAGAGAGTTCAAAAAAGGAGATAATAATGATGAGAACATATACATCTTCTGATACAAAACTGACTATAGGACAATTTTGAGAGGTTAGGTAAATTACACTATACTGTAAGAGTGGTAATAAAGATCTAAATCATAGATTATAAATCATCTGAGACCGTCATATTCGGACTTAGAGAAATTAACAGAGAGTGATGAATTCCTAAATGTATGATATACTAGACCAGACAGTTCCGAAAAGGATGCGTCTTCTTAGAATTCTCAAAACAATGAGACAAATGTTTATAATCCTCAAACTTCTAATTGTGGTAGTCAGCGAAGGGAACTTCCTCCTAAAACAACCAAAGGAAAAAATGCTCAAATACCTGACTGATAGCTATATGCTGCAGGTTAAGATAAATTGCTCGTATCCTCACTAAATTCTCTTGTAATTACAATTATTTATTTTTCCCTTTAAGGGTAGTGAAATGTTATGGATACGAAACTCTTAGGAAGGTCCTACTTATTTTTGCATTTTGTATTAATGTATCACTAATTATATGTTTAAGTTATCCTAGCACTGCGATTTCTATATACATGCGTGTCCTACCAGCAAGTTCGTAATTATAGACTCTCCAGTAACGGATTGATTGAAGAAGTGTCGTATGATCAACCTTAACCCAATCGCCCCGTATGGCAAGAATACATGCCATGCCCAACGTAATACAAGTTTATTTATTGCAATTACACATAGATGGCTCTATAAGTGCTTAGTCACCAAAGTGTCGGTTATTACCCCTCGTATCTCACCTGTTTACTCTTTTCCTCGACTTTTGGAAAGGGTCTTTTGCATTATTTCACTGTTTTAAATGTTATCGAGATTTTAATAACAATTTAATAATCATAACATCAATAACAATAATAACAGTAACGAGGCCAACTGTATTAAAATGAAAAACACATTTTCCCGCCAATTCAAGGAATGAGGAAATCAGGATCTGTCACTAAGGCTACTGATAGACTCCTTGCCAGCTGAGCATATGTGGAGACAGCTGTATGTAACAACATTCACAAAAGCTACAGGAGCGAATTGGGTTAATCCTAAATTAGACGAAGAGTCAAGGCTACACAGTGGGCGACGAAAACGGGCTTACCACAAAGGATATATTAGACAAAAAAATATATAAATTCAGGGTCGTTATTATGATACACTGAAGAATCGTGTGTGTTAGTCAAACACAAAAAGTCCCTTAGCAATACTGGTCCCCTTAAAACTTTTTAGACCACTGTCCCCTTCATAGAATATTTGTTTTATCAACTACCCCCACCTATGTACAAAAATAATACTTTGATAATAATTAAGTAGATGTACAGCTTCCATATACATTAGTGAGGGGAACTGCACAGCAAACCCTGCTTTCCATGTACACCAGTAAGGGTAACTGCATACCAAGCCATGCAAAAATGTTGCTCTGTATCCCCCCCCCCCCTGTGAATATAAACAGAAATGAAATAAATGTACAATGAAAAACTAATTATATATCTTAGAAACGTGTATCAGTAATTATATTTCAAGTAATTTTATTTCTTATACGAATGCCTACATTCGCCCCAAAACTACATACGGTCCTGGCTTTTCGTTTATCGGTCTATCGGCGGTACTTTTGCATGCATGCTAGGTATATAGAGCTTAACTTTGAGTTTAGGAATGGGGGATATGGGTTAGGTATCCTATTCCTTATAAATAATATTCCATCACAAAATATTGATTAATAATTCTCAGTTCTGTGTATTACGTCCCGTCTGTCCTCTCCTCACCTCTCATTAAAATGACTTGCAAATCTTTATCGAAAACTCCATTTATTGATAAATAACCATGTGTTTTTGTTTTAATGAAATTAATAACCATTTGTAACCACCATGCTATCAAAGATTAATTCCAAATGCCTTGCCCATTTGTATGCACACCTTATACTATCCTTGCATTCGCTTGAGCATGGCATGCTGCGTGCTGCGAGGTGAAATAAGTTGAACAGTTATGAAGAAAAATATTACGCGATGCGGTGCGTGGCCAAGAAGGCAAATCTGAAGGTCGTTCACTTCGCCTTACGGTCTCTTTATAAACAACCAACATGGTTGCCAACTTAGAGCCCCAAGAGTATCTCTGTCTGAATTGCTGCATATCATTTTGATTTACCTTCGTAATCTCCTTATTTATGCATGTATTAAATAAAATCTGCCTACTTATGGTAACCAACTTGGAGATGCGTTGCATGAGGCAAGATAATTTTACACTGAACGTTTTGGGCAGTATGAAGGGACTTAAAGAACCGTTTCTTTCTTCCAGTGACAGACATTCCGGACAAAGGAACATTTCTCCGATATTGCCTACATGGGGGTGTGTTTCAACCGTAAGTGAATAGAGACGAACAAACGAATTTATTGTATTTGTGTTCGTTTATTTTTCTGAAATAAGCACCAAATTTCACAGTAGCTCTTGTTGCCTATTCCACTTTTTTCGTAAAAATGTTGGGGACTATCACATATATCGCACTGAGTCATTTCTTTGATTCGGATTTTTTTTTTTCGGTGACACATGTATACGTGGTTCATCCAGACTAAAACAGAATAGATATACCTTATCGATATTTATGCTGCCCTGTCTAGTTAGACTTAGATTGGCACAAAGAAAGTATATAATACTTATAGTGATATATATCAGGTAACGATGATATTGATTACTATACTGGTCATAGTAATCTAATATAAACCATAAATGAAATGCAGACAAAAATGAGGGGGTCGCACAGGGTTAGCCGAGAGTCACTAATTGTAGATCAGTTTGTCAGGCCTTCTTCAGTGTTTATATTAAGAATATACTTTTATTTACCTATTTCCCAATATGTTAATAAAAGCTTTATATTCTTTCTTATTCTAATTACAAAGAGGGTTATGGCTAGACGGCCGCGGGTCGAAAGAGTGAACGTACTTCATCCGTTAATCGTTATGGAAGATGTTTTACTTACGATCTGGATCAAATCCTGGGATAAAATCTGGACACTGGACGAAGGCTCTTGTTCCAGCCGGCGTGTCATTCCAACATGACCAGCCATCAAACGTGCGTGGACAGTATGGGCCTGAAAAAATAAGTGATTTATGGAAAATATATAAAATGCGACCTGTATATAAGTACGCGCGCACACACACGCACACACGCAAACACGCAAACACACACACACACACACACACATATATATATATATA